CTGGCTCCAAGGCGGGGCGGTGTGGCTCAGGAGCACTGCAGAGGAGAAAATTCATGGCATGGCAGCTAGGAGGCAGAGTATGCCATCAAGGGAGGATGAGAGATCGATCGATCGATCGATCTATCTATCTGTCTATCTATCTGTCTGTCTATCTATCTATCTGTCTATCTATCTATCTATCTCTACATCATACCCACAGTGACCCACCTCTTCTCACCAAATTTCACCTCCCAGCATCACACCCAGATATAAACCTAACAGTGGACCCAGCAATGAGTATCACACACCCATGGTCCAGTCACCTCCCCAAAGCTCCACCTATGAATGCATGAGACTTTGGTGGACATTTAGATATAAACGATAACAACCAGATTTAAATGTTGCCTTATGTTACCATGAGGAAACATGCCTATGAACACAGGTTATTGTGACTAGCTGCAGTAAGCAAAACAGTTATACAATAGTTTAAATATTGTAATTTTTGGCCTAATTTGATCAGAAGAAATGCTTAAAAGGGCCAAAGCATGGGAATCACTTTGGACAGCCAGAAACACCCTGAAGGTACTGGAAGCCTAGCAGGCATACCAAAAGGAGGCAAAGTCTACCATCAGTGAGGAATGAGCTATCAGGGTAAAGCATGTCAGAATTCTGCATTCTGAGGTAAGAATATAGTAATATAAATATGTTAGGTATCATATTAAGAAATTTACAGAAACCATTTTATTTAAAACAAAAATACTATTATGTCCACTTTAAGGATAGTTCAGTCTGTATAGAAAAACAAACATGGATACTCTATATTATGTTTCAGAAATTAAGATCTCAGTGTGAAAGAACAACTCTAAAGCAAATAGATGAAAAAGTAGGAGAATATTATTTTAACCTTGAGGCAGGAAGGGACTTTTTCAGTGATTCACAAAACACAAACAATAAGTCAAGAAAGTAAAGATCTTTATTCAACAACTCATAAATAAAATTTACAGATGGGTAACATTGTAAAAACTATCTGCAACATCTTAAGTGGATGAGATTACTATCTGGAACATGGGTTATTCTGTATATTTGAAAAATGTAGCAAATATTTTAGCCTTTGTGGACTACATGCTCTCTACTGCAATTGCTCAACTCAGCCACTGTAGAACAAAAACTCCCTAAGACAATACATACATGAATGAATGTGGCTGTGTTCCAATGAAACTTTACCAAGATCAGTACCAAGCAGGATTTAGTCTACAAGGCTGTAGTTTATAGATCCCTAATCACGAAAACACTGGAAATTCTGATGGATCAATAAGAAAAATTAGGACACTCAATGAAAAGTTGAGCAAAGGATATCAAAAAACAATTGGCAAAAAGAAAAATCAAAATGGCAAAAATAACATGGATGTACAATTTTATGAATACTCTGAGAAATGAAAACTATAATGAAACATCAATTTATACCCAACAGATCTGCCACAACATTGAAATCAGGTATATCTGGTGGCGGTAAGGGCAGGGGGAAACCTGGAACCCTCATGTCTTACCAGAGTATCAGCTACAAAAAGCCATTTTTGGAGCGCAACCTGGCAGTGCTGAAGGAAATTAAATACGTACTTCCACAATCCAAATAAAGGGGAGCTCTTTGACACAGGACAGTAGGCAGCTTTATAGCATCACATACACATTCTCTTTAATCTATAGTTACAAGACAATACTGTATCCATGCTTTTCTTCTCCTTTCACCATGCATGGACAAAAGCGCCACCACTGTCACTAGTCTAGAGGCCAGCTGCTATAAACTTTCTACCAATATGTTTTAGAAATAAAAATGTTTTAGTATTCTTATACTCTAATTCTTTTACAGTTTTGTTTCATATCTTTAAGAGGAGAACTTGCTTTATAATATCTGATTAATGGAATGCAAGATCTATGTACATGAATTTAAGATAAGTAAGACTATAATTTTATACCAGAGAGAGCCAATTATAGGATTGTACTCTTAGATCCTTCTGCATTTTCCCTCCATTGCAGTGTTAGTAAGATTCCATTACAAGCTTGAGAAGCATCTAGTTAATAATAAGGGACAACTGTTGGCTATCCATTCATCTTCAGCAAAACAAAACTAAGAAGGTATTTTTTTCCTCCTATTTAGTGGGAAATTAAATTACACAACATAGCTTGCTTTGTAATTAGAATTACAACTTCTAGCCATTTTTTTTTCTATTGCCACTTGAATATAACATATTGTAACATTAGGTTCTGAAATAGAGGCTTTCCTTTCACTAAATTCATCTGCCACAGTTTTACAAAATACATAATGGATTATTTGAATTAGTATGGCCTAAGCAGCAGGAGGAGCATGCAAATGTACTGATTTTAAAAGCTCACCTCAAAGAAGGACATCTACATGATTTATCTTAAAAGTAAATGTTATTGGCTCAGGGATATAGCTCAGCGGCACAGTGATGACTGGCAAGTGTGAGGTCCTGAGTTCAAGTTCCGGTACCAAAAAGAATTATTCAACTACATTTCAGTGGTGAAAATTACTCAAGATAATATAGTTGTGAAATAACAATTTCCCCTCCCAGTCTTTTATCATAGGTACATCTACTTAAAAGGTTAGATGTTCCTAAAGCATATGTATATTATTTGATCAGATATTAAAAGAATTGTTTACATTGAATTATACACTTTGGGTGAATTTTATGGTACTTATCTCGTAAAGCTGTTTTTAAAAAGTAGTTTAGATAATCAGTCATTTAGCTCTTAACTGTAGTGTAACAGGACGGGTGGTGAGGAGTGGAACGAGGCTAGCCAACCAGGAACTGAGCTAAATTCCTGGCCAAATTTTGGGGCCCAAGGTAATGAGAGGGAGAGGGAAAGAATGCTGGGGAGGCTGGTGCTGGGGACTCAATAGGATGCATTAGAGCAAATGTCAAGAAACCAAATGTTACAGTCAAAACAATTCTTTCAAGAATTTCTAAAAACACAGATGAACTTACAGAAGAATTTTGTGAGACACTAATGAAAGGAAAAATGATAACACTCTTTGTTTATTCCAATACCGGCCATTTCCAAAATAGTAGTGAGAACATAGGAACTCTATTTAAAAGATTTCTTTCGAAGGCCCGCGTTAACTTTCATACAGATTATATGAATGAAAACTGAAGGCTGCTTTTTGAATCAAGAATTTACAAACGAGTAATATCTTACTTTTATAAGGGCAAGAGTTTTGATAGAAAACAAAACTTTTAAAAAAAGACAACACATAGATGATGGTAAACATGAAATGCTGGTATAATCTTTTATTGCTAAATATCAAACACCAGTAATTATGCTTTCTTCAAATTAAAGCTTGAGAGTAAATTTTATGGCACGAAGGATTTATAAAAGAAATCCCTGTGCATCCTTAGTCTGTGGACATTCAATAAATACAATGGGACAAAATGATGTCCGAGAAACACATAACTATGAAACACAGGTCTACAATTTGCTGTTAGAACAATGACTTAGAAGAGCAATTACTGAAAGGTCAAAAGGTTAACTGTATGTCTTTTTAAACTGAGATGTTGATAAGAATATACATTCTTTACCAATTGTAGGTGCCTAAAAATTTTTTCAAAAATGTAAACAATGCAGAGTAGGAACACAGAATAAAACTTCACTGTTAAACAAAGTGACAACACAGAAATCTTCTTCAAATCCTCAAAAGGACTCATTTTTTAAACTACAGAAATTAAAAGATTCCTTTCATAAAGATGATAATACACCAGGGACATAAAGACCTTCCAATTTTTTAATGTTAATACATATTTACAGTAAATATTCAATAATACTTTTTACAGCTTACTTAAATAGAAGCATGCTTTTCTAATCCATAAATAACATTAATCACTATCCATTCAACCATATTAAGTACTTATGATGTCTCATGCACTGTGCCAAGGATGCAAAGCTTGCTCCTTGCTCTAGAAGAGCCCATAGTCAAGCTGAAGAGACAACACACAACATTTCCTTTCTTACACAATGAGGCCATTCCTGCACAAACGGTACTGATCTGCTCAATTTCCTGCCTCAGTAGTTCCTGGTCCTATGGATTAGCAGACCATGGTGCTTAACAGTTAAGACAAAATAAGGCTTTGTTTCTGTTTTTCTTTACCCATAAAAAGAAGTTAGTGGGTAGAATTTCCTCTGCAAAGTTTTTTTCTTGGGCCAGGGACATAGGTCAGTGATAGCATACTTGCCCATCATGCATGAGATCCCGGGTTTAATCTCCAACACTGCAAAAAAATTTCTTTTCTGTTTTTAAAAAACTAACTTGAACATATACAACATTTTAATAAACTACTTAATTCATGTAATTAAATGAGTTATATAAGTATTTCATGGTATTCCCCAAGTTTACCTGAATAGGTCAGGGCATTATGATGCTAATATATTTTGGTCCTGAATGACTGCCTAAGAATAAAATAAACACCACATTTTCTGGCAAAAGCCAGTAATTTGTATGGTTTTAGTACTGGTATTAGCTGATGAGCTGAACCACTAATTAAGTGTTAAAATTATATTCAATATATAATACTCATTTAAGAAGGAAAGAAAATTTATAATATAAAAAGTTTCTTAAAAATGATTTAAAAGTTTGAGTGCTTAAAGAACAACTAATAACCTGAAAAAGATAACCTCATGGAGTCCCTCACTTAGTGAAGAAGGTCAATTCATTGTTATTAATGGGTTATTGCTTTTTATCACCTTTTGAGTATATGAGAGAAATATGTGTTTTTCATCAAAGAAACAGCATGCTCTCTGGGACTGGTGGTACATACCCATAATGTCAGCTATTTTGGAAACTGAGGATGGCAAGTTCAAGGCCAGCCTAGGCAAAGAAGATCCTCTCAAAATTTAAAAAA